CTCTTAGCTGGATCCCAAGGCAGATCATCGACATTGGTGTTATCTGGATCCAATGGTTGATCATCGACATTGGTGTTAGCTGGATCCAGTGGTTGATCATCAACATTGGTGTTAGCTGGATCCCGTGGTTGATCATCGATATTGGAGTGTGGCGTTGGTTTAGGAATTGGTTTGTAAAATTTTTTCATATTGGTGATTTAGCTATAAAACAAAAACATGTTATTAGTTAAAAATTTAGAAAACCTACAGTAATAATGTCACATCACACTATAATAATTTCTATAAAAAAGCAGGAAAAAGACTCACCAATTGATATTTGTTGACTTGCACTTGTTAATCGTCGTGTACAGCAAAAAAAACCAGAGGAGAAAAGAATAGGAGAAAAAATAACAACAAACTAGTTTTAGATCTTTAATTTATTAAGTTAGTTATTTTAGGTTTATATATTAATATTTTTGTTTGCTATATGGGTTGATAATTTGATATTTGGCTTTTGTTCGGTGGGAACAAAAAAAGAAGGAAGAACAATTTTAGTGGGGTCAGATTTTTTTTTTTTCTAATTTTTAATAATTTTTTCATGTATTTTTTTTTTTTTTTTTTTGCTGGTGGCAGCTGCCCCCACCATATGACATGTGGGTCCGCCCCTGATTGGTCGTGATTTGGCTCCCTCTTTGTTTAGTAGAAGACATAATAGAGTTAGGATTTAAACGGATTGTATATTTTTTTCATTATTTGTATTATATGTAGAAATGGAAAAACAAATCTATATACAGTAAAACCTCTATAAATTAATACTCGATAAATTAATAATCTCTATAAATTAATAAATTTCTCCGGTCCCAACTTGGGACCAGTGTAATTTTAGACACATTTCGATAAAATAATAAGATAATAATTTTTCTGAAATCTTTTGTAAATATATGGTCCCATCAATATTATAAATTAATAATTAGGTACAATTTTCAAAAATATATGTATATATAGACACATTATTTTTTGTTAGAGTTTATTTCTAATATTTTACTATATAAAAATTGTTAGAATTCTCTTTTAAGACATAATAATTATTATTTTCTTTGTTAATGATTATATAAAATACTAATTATCATGATTAAATCTTATTTTTAAATATTTTTTTGAAAAAACTTTCTAAATTAGGAAAATCTCTCTATAAATTAATAATTCGATAAATTAAAATCTCAATAAATTAATAAATTTTCATAGTTCCAACATTATTAATTTATAGAGGTTTTACTGTATGTGCACATGAGAATTCGTATTCAATGCTAAAAGAATACATATAAAAAATTAAAGTAATATGTATTTTGTAGACCCTCAATAGCTATCCATTGACGGATCTATAAGTAATTTTTTTTTTATAACAATGAACACAAAACATTATGTTAAATAATCTGATTAGCAAATTGAAATTGACCATCGCATTGATACATGCATGCATCGACCGCTACAAACCAATAGACTAAACTAAAGAATAACGAAAACATACAATATTATAATAGACTAAATAACGTTTAATTGAGATAATTAAGTACTTTTCGATCTAATCTTTGAGAAGAATTCCAAATAGCATATCCCCCACGAGGCCTAATTCGAACAAGTTTTATTATATGATAACTTGACCATATTGAATAATTATAAAATCAAGTAGTATTTTAATTAATATATGATGACCAGAGCATCTAGATGGCAATCGCTTCTAATTGTTAGACCGGCCGATCAATGACACCCTTAATTAGTTAGGCCAGTTTTGTACTTGTATTTCAACTGGACGGTTTGAATTTATGAGCCTACGTAAATCATCTTTTCTTTTGTAACTTTTATTTGAGATCTAAGAATACAATTTTATATCACGTTTCCAACATTATCAAATATATGATCTCAAGTATGTTAAAAACGAAACTGATCAGAATTATGGATACAAAGTCTGGTTTTGTAATCCTACTCTAAATTGTGACCCGTACATTGATTAACATGCTCTTATGATTAGTGTTAGAACAATTAGACTAAAATATTAAGTAGGGTTAAAAGATCAACTTAATGGTTCACTTGTGCTTGACGACTAATTAAACCTATGTTTACCACTCTCATTGAAAACAACAGTGTATTTTTTTGTAACTCTCAATATAATACAATAATATAGATAACAAAAAAAAAGGAAGAAGAAACTTGGTGTGAGAAAGATCTAGAAACTTCTTTGAATCAAAAGACGTTAGACCCGTTGAAAGTAAGAGAAAGTGTGTGTAAGGAATGTATCATCAAAGTGCATGCATCTCCAATTAAAGCACGTGTCTAATTAGTTTTGTCAAGACTGAGTCTTCATCACTCATGGGACACATGATTCATATCAGAGAATCTTTTCTTGTTTGATTTCTTTTTTAAGTAAAACAAAAAACCAAAAAAACTGAAAAAGTATGCACTAAAGAAATGTAAAAATGCTAATAAAATATGAAAGTAAAGTATACAATAATACATGAAGGCGAGAGGCGGCGAGAGTGTTCCGTAAGCAACTGTATCCGAATCATACACATTTATCTCTTCTAACGCCGGCGGCCGCAAATTTTATTTATCTACAAAACTTTTGAATTAAACCAAAAACGTAAGAGTTATTATGATGACAATAGTTTCGTTCGATTTTAGAAGAATTATTGCGCTGTGAATTTAGACAACGAAACGAGTTCTACTAGTATTTACTAAAACAAAACAAAAAGAATTGCCAAGGATCCCTCTTGATTAGTTTACTTTTTAAGTAGTGAAAATATCTTACTTTAAAGTGGTGAAAATTCTTCATCAAATTGCAACTAGGTCATATGATTAGGCACTTCAGTTAAAGGCATAAAGCTATCAAGCTAAGGAGCTATAGGGTCAACAAAGTTAGGGAACCTCAAAAAGATTATAGGCTTTTTTTGGTTTGGCCAAATTATGCCTCAAGTTGTTGACTTGACTCGACGACTCTTATATTTGGTTCACAATTGGTTTACTAGTTTCGACCGCTACGAACGTGTGAAACTTAAAAAAAATATCAGACCTTTTTGGACTTAGACCAATTTAGTCATCAAGCACATTGTGTTTGGACCCTAGACCCAAAAGATCCAATTCTACTGCAAACTACCCCAATTTTTTTTTTTTTTTTTGGCTCGTCAGAATAAATTCTGAATCAAACTCGATATAAACACTCTGAAATCTGCAATAAATAATAAATCCAAGAGTTAAAAAAAAAAAACACTCTGAAATCTGCTAAGATACAGTCGAACTCGATTGCATAGCCAACGTTTTCAACAGAAGTTCTCGACAATCCACATAATTGTGTGATTCATAAAACGTTTACACGCATAAGACATTCAAAAGACTAAACATTTTCGACTCTTAAACATTACACCGTTATGACTAAACAACAATTATTATATTGGTATGTTTGGAACTATTATGTAAATTTGTATACAAATCTATCGACCATCAAATCAAAAACAAAACCGAAAACATCCATCTTTATGAATTGGAGTGAAATCTAAATGATGGGAAGTAGGCAAGTAGCTAAACTCATGACATCGAGAATAATTTTCTTAACTCAGTGGCAAAACAAAAGTTTAGTACCATATGTTAAAATACAGAAGGTGGTAATTATATCTCACCATTCTTTTTTTCTTTTTTTCTTTTGGTACTGAGAGTTCACTATGAATGGCTTGTCTTGGGCAAAGGTAAAGCCTTATTCAGAAGATTATTTGTTGAAACTCCCCCTCGAGCCTTCAATCTCAAATCCTCAAGAAGTCTTTTCGCTTCTTTCATTTCGTCTTTCGCGCTATCTCCATGGTTATCCCATGCATTGATCACTCGCTGTTGAAATTCCACAGCAAGGCTATAACTGTAAAGGCGAGCAAGCAATGGTCAGGACATTAAACACTTATAAGAGAATGAAGTCACATCAAAGGGTAAGCTGCGTTAACGGAATTTGCTTACTTTCCCATTCCGGCGTAAGCTTTGGAAAGATTCTGGCAAGCATCAATTGAATCGACATGGTTTGGACCAAGTGAGACATCCATAATGTCTTTAGCAACTGCAAACATTTGAGCAGCAGATTGAGGTCTTCCGAGTTCTAAATAAGCAGCGCCAAGATTGTTATACACATAACCAACTCCAAAATGTTTAGCACCAAAGCTTTCTTTTAACCTCTCGGCTGCACTTTCCAAGTAAGGAACCGCTTGGGAGACTCGACCCGAGAATAAAAGCAGCCAACCTATCCTAGCAGAAACACTTCCTTCTGAGTGCTGTTCTTGAGGAAGCTTCTCTAGTATACTTAAAGTTTTTTGCAGTAACGAAATAGCGGTTTCAAATTCGTTCATTGACTCGTACTGCATCGCTACCTCAGAGTATGCTTCAGCAACTTCTACAGGTGAAGCTGTTTCTTTCTTCTCGAGGATTTCGCAAGCGAACTCCAGACATCTCTTTGAATCAGCAAACTTTTGTTGGTTCACCAAAGCTTTCGACATCGATATAAACACCATAGCTCTCATCTCACTGTCCTTCTCAGTTTGTTGAACAACGCTCTTCAATATATCAATGGCTTCCTCGTATTTTCCCAAAGCAACCTTCATGTTTGCAGCATCAATTTCAGCACGAACCAGCTCCAATTTCATCCCCCAATTCTTTAAAACCCTCTGAGACAATCGGTTCTGCTCCAAGGCCTTTTCATGTTGCTCTAAACCGCTATAAATCACACCAAGTAGCCTTCGATCCTGTGCAACCTCAGCTGAATTATTCCCCAATTCCTTCTTATGTATCTCCAACGCTTTCAACGCATAAGGCAAAGCCTCGTTGAAATTCAAAACCGCAACATAAGCATCAGCCAGACTCCTATTGGCCACACCCATCTCTTTACTATCTTCATCAAAAGTCATCTCCTTTATCTCCAAGCTCTTCTTCAAATTCTCAATAGCTTCCTCTCGCCTTCCCATAGCATTCTTAACATTAGCAAGCTCGAGTTGCACGGCATGTAAAACTGGCCTAACATCTTCCAAAACATTATCTTCATCTGCCTCTAACTTAACCAGAATCCGATTAGCTCTGTTCAAGTAACCTAAGCTATCACTAAAACGTTTCAATCCGTAATTAGCAGAACCCATTAATTGCAACGCCATAGCAACAAGCAGATTAGGTTTGTTCCCATCTCCATCGAAAGATTTAAGAGCTTTATCAGCGTAAGACAGAACCTTTTCAGGATCCTCACCTTCGCGATCGAGATGGAGCCCTAGTTTAAGAGCAGACAAACCTAACTCGTTCCCTTCGAAAGACAACTCCATTTGCTTGAACAAACGGACCATTTCATCAGTGGTGTTCGCCGACTCGAACGCCTCTTCGAGATCGATCTTCTCCTTGTCACTTGGCGAAATCTCCGGAGGTTCCTCGACATGAGTATTCAAATTCCGACATGGATTGACCCAGAACTGACTCTTGATCAGGCCATTGGTTCTGCAGAAAGTGGAGATTTCTCGTGTTGGGGAGAACAGAGAAGAGGACGAAGAAGAAGAACAAGCATCAGAAATGTAATTGAGTCTGATTAGAGGTGGGATTGGTCTCAATTGGTATCGGAAGCGACGGATTAGAGAAATCGAAACACTTTTCATCGCCGGAACTTCGCGTCGATGAAAATGTTCTCGTCACCAAAAACCCTAAAAACAAAAACCCTAAAAGAAAACACTTTATTATTTTAGTTCGTTTTCAGTTATTTTTTAAAATCTCGTCCAATAAAAAATCTCCAGTTATTTGTATGTTCTGATTTTGACCCAATCTTAAAACCCGACCCGAACCGACCCGGATCCATCTCTTCTATGAAGAAGCCATAAAAGCTAGTTCAACTCCTATGTCTTCTGATTGGCAATCTCTGAGCTCTCCTGTTTCGTCTCTTCTTTCACTAGACTAGAGATGGAACTAACACACTCAAGTAAACACAATTGAACAAATACCTAATTTTTAAGGAACTTTTTTATATACACAACAATAAAGAATTGCATGTAATGTTAGCTTGAAACATAACCAACTACGAAAAGAAAAGAGAAACATGTTATTATTCCCACATTTTTGCCAAAGACCAGAGAACACTTTCTACAAAGCATCTCTTTTATAAAAGAAAAAGAAAAAACAAAGAAACAACTTTGAATCAAAAAAATTCATTGTTGTTCACCCTAATGTGGTGCTTGATGATGAAGTTTGTTAAGGTCTTGAACTATATACATCGTCGAAATGGAGATCAATCCCAGCTTCAACATCATGATCATCATCCATGAATGTAGTCCTCGACAACTGTCTTCTTGCATTTTCTTCCCAATCCAATTCTTCTTCTTCTTCTTCAATGCTTCTTCTGCTCCATGAGTTGTCTAATAAGTTTCCTGCTGTGTAGCGGTTTATAAAATCAGGTGGCTCAATGAAGCTATTGGTGGTTGCTGGATGAGATGTGCTGATGTGAGAGTGGTTGCCTCTTCCCCACCACTGGTTCCTACCATCTAGAGGATGCTGATTCCCATTACTTTCTTCTCCATCAGGCTGTTCATGCCGCAAAATGCTCTCTCCAAAGAACTGACCCGATGTGCTTGCCTCCATGTTGAGCAGATCTCTGCTATTTTCACCACGGATTCCCAAATTAGGAGGCCAACAGTCCGCAGAGTTTTGATTTGCAGTTAAGATTTCGTTCTCTCTTTCTACTGGGTGCTCGGTTCTGTTGTGAGCCTGAGAGGTGTAATACCAGTCAAGAAGATATGGATGATTCCTCTGATCTGAATCAATTAGCCACATGGAATCAGTGTGATTGCCACAAGCAGGCGGATTTCTTGGAATGTCTCTGTATAAATTGGTGGTAGTGCTTTCTCGCCACGCCTTACTAGGAGAACATGAGTGTCTTGTGTTGATTTCATGAAGCTTTCGGTCCCTGAAAGTTCTGAGATTTGACAGAAACTGCTTCCCAAGAGAATCTGACTCCCAAGAAGGATAACTACTCTGAAAACTGCAAATAAAATGGAACACTTAACACTGATTCGCATATACTATTCCAAGGGAATTCATATGCTGCAGAAGAAGAAAGACAATAATATGCCTCAAACCTCAAAAATGATTTCTCCATTTTCCCTTGTGAGCTTCGCTGCTCACGACGAGGTGCGTTACATGGTGAACCATATTTGATATTTCCATGGTTCTCAAAGTAGAAAGCACTAAAACTGCAAACAGAACGGCCATAATCCGAATTGTAAATTTCTTTCGAACAATACAAAGGATGCATATCTGTAGATAATTAGAAGAGTTGTTACCTGCAAACATGGCCTACACCTTCAATGTCAACTGTGAAATCCATGATGAATTGCAAGATGTCATCAACCCGCTGGAAGGTGAACTCAAAACGTGTTAAGACTACAATCCTTGAATATTCTCAATATTCACATGGGGTACACTAAACCGAATGAGAGAGATATATACCTTAGGCACGACAAACATCAGCAAAAATGGTGTGATGAAGATCGAAGCTATCTCCTCCAATAGCATCATTCCCGTATACTACAGTGCAGAAATTTATATAAATTTATTCAGAAAGTAGTGACGACCAAGATAGGAAATACGATCACATTTCATGGAACTATAGAATCCTAAACAGAACACAAAAGAATACTTATCCTATGATACTCAGTAAATAGCTCATCTTGCTGCCAAACTTCATCATATTATGAAGATATTTAAGTAAATATAGGTGTAAACATAAATTTAGCATTCTAAAAGTTAACATGAAAAACTGCATTGACTAAATATTGATGTTTAGCTTAAACTAAACCAGTCTGGGGAAAAAGACGTCAATAAGTAATCATGGTACCTGAAACAGAGTCTCTAACTCCAAACGAACATCATCTTTGTTTTCCTTACCACGCCATCTCTTAGGCATATAGTGAGTGTGTTGGACCACCAAAGTCATAGTTCCTACTGGGTCAAGGACCAGAACTTCATCCGAAATGGCAGCCCGGCTAATAGCTGTAATTGTTCCAAAAACAGCCGCATACCAAAACAGGTTGCGGCCGAATATCTACACAGGTGGCAAAACAAACTTTAATACTCAGAAAATGTATCTAATAAATGCTTTTTACGTTGTTAGGATTTCTTACATGGCCCTCTAGAAGAGATTCTTCGAGAAACGCAATGATGATTAAAACAGCAGCAAAGCCGCCCGAAACAAAAGAGACGAATTTTGCAATAATGGAGATGATAGGCGAGGGGAATTGTTTTAGATATTCAGATGCGTTTACTACACTGCTATTAATCCGATGCTTGAATAAATGGTCAACCTGTTCTAGAAACAAGAAGTTTAGCATCACATATATTTAGAAAGGAGAAAGTCAGAGAAATTTGAAGGTTTACTAAGAAATCAGAACTAAAATCCATTCACACGACTTTGTGGGCATGAAGGAAACTTACCTCATTGAATTCCCTGAAGAGCCACTTTGACAAATTGGACCATCTTCGAGAAGATGCCGTACTTGGATGATTGTAAAACTGTTCAGCATGCCTTAGGAACAGATACACCAACATAAAGATGACAAGAAATGGTGACAGCAGAAGCATAGCAAGCCCAACCACAAATAGCCGTTTCTTCAATGTAGAAGGATTTGAAACAAAGTCCCTTTTTACACGAAAATTGCTGCAGAATGAGAACGCCTGAATTAGAGAAAGCTGACTATACAATGTGCAAAGATTTTTTCATTCTATGGCATTACTCTTCAAAGTACTAGTTAGGCCACTAGATGAAAAAATACAAATATGAAATATACATATGTGCTTCGGCCACTCCCATGTATGACATAAAGGTATAAAAATTCTAACAGAATAATCTCATAAACTTAAAAAAAAAAAATCACTATCATCTGACCAAGAAAAGGCAACTCATGAAACTTGAAACTCTTGGCCAATTTCTGTATCACTATAGCAGTTCATAAAATCCTATATCTACAACAATACTAGGACGCCGTTGTCAGATTAGATCAAAGATTAGAGAGAAGAGTAGCATACCAGTCAAACATGCTCTGCAATATGCACCAGTTAAGGGTCCACTCAAGGGTCTTTGTCAATACAAGGTGATACTGTGTCCCATCTGGTGCAGATTTAACTGCTGGACCAGCACCAGGGATCCAATGGGAAATTGGGAACGAAAGCAAACCTTTGTTGAGCATTCCAATCAAATAGTTTTCTTTCCGCATAAGGCGCATAACAATATCATGAGCTGAAAGATCCTTAACCACACAAAGGCATTGTGAGCTTTGTAACTGAACAACCTTCTCAAGGATTGTTGCCCATGGCATAGTAAGGATTTCATTGTCTGTGACATGGAGACTGTAAATTTACAATACAAGAAGAAAATCAGTTATGTGCTAAAATGCCTGTTTTATACTAGCAATAACCCATTTATAGCATGTTTCAACTGCCAACTTACTTGTTGTAATAAAAGTGCCGAAAGTCCAAAGTGTCTTTCAATTGGGCAAAAAACCTTAGGAAGCAGAAGAGCCAGTACACAGAGAAGAGGGCCAAATATCCAACAATTATAGCCGTTGTGAGCGTGAAAGGGGATAAAGGATGCGGGTGGATAGCTTCTTTTACAAGATCACATGGCTTAGTTCCTGATTCAACTGCATCCATTCCACATTTTGCATTCTGAAGGCCATTCCAATCAACATACAACAAGAAAAACCCAGAGAAGCATATTATGAAGCCCAGACTTAGAAGCTCAACAGCCCACTTTACGATAATACACCAAAGGCCTTTGTCTCTATAGTAGCTGTAGAGCCTTTCAACAAAAAGATCCAAATCAGCAATTGGTTGAACATTTAAACTCTCTCCATTAAGAAGTCCCGACGGGCTCTCACTACCAGGACTTGGTATTCCTCCGTAGTTCGATAGCTCAATCTCGTGAGACTCATTATGAAGTAATCCAGTTGTCAAAGACGATGATGATTCACCACGTTGCCATTTAAAAAAGTTGAACACATTTGGACCTTTTTGCCCACTGCTCATCATTTGTAAACACGGACGCTTAGACAAAACAGCCAGTCCATTCCCCGCTTACCACGTGAAATTTCTAAAGTGTAGTGCCCAACAAGAATCCAGCCACAAATCCTGCATCAAGAATGAAAAACATAAACTATCTAGAATGAAAATCACTAATGACGGAGATAATTTAAGCATGCAAACAAAAGTGCCACCAACGTGTCTAGTAAAATGTTCCAGCTACAAGTACAGATAATGAAAGTGACAACCGATGAGACAGAAAGGCAAATCAATTCCTTAAAAGTAGAAAGCGAAACCAAGGATGCGGAACTTGTTGCATAACCTGGTAAAGACATGTTTCTATAACTGGTTCCCACCATAATAGATATAAACAAGACCCATCTATCCTTTGCTTGACACTCAAATGACTATTCAACTCAAACATTGCCTTCCTTATACAACACAAACATTCTCGCTCGCAATAAGAGAATCTATGGACAATGCATTAAATGCTCAGCCTTCTGATGACAACTAATGGTGCGAAGAAAGAAAACACAGCACCGTTCTCTCCAATAAAAGAAATATCAGCATCACGTAACATTGCAACATGAGAAAACACTAAACACAGCATATACAGTAATCTATACTCAATCAAGAGGCCGAAACTGAGGTTCACGCAACCTTTGCACAAACAATATACCATGATCAAACTCAATTCCTTTAAACCGACTCACTTATACACGAGAAGAAGAACAAGGGTTTATCTAATTTGGAAAGATTTAAATAGGAACCATACAGTACTTGACGAAATTGAAACCCAAAACCCATAAGCTAACAGGATGATCAACTCCTCTAAACCCACCAAGTGATTTTCCCTCGCCCCCCTTAAAATCACTGTTAAATTATTCAAAAATTCGAACTTTATCGATAACAACAAATGGAAAAAGATCAAAACTTACCAACAAATGGAGAAAGATCGAAAGGAACAAGAGCAATTAGGAAAGCCGTGAAAGCGAAGTTCTGTAAGCAGCTAGCAAGTTATTCGTATTTAAAAGCCGAAAGCTTTAAAAGAAGGATGAATTCAATTCTGCGGCTAAGGTAGGGCAGTGAAAATTCGGCGAAGAAGAAGTTGAAAAGAGAAGCAAATTTTGATCGACGAAAGATTAACGAATTAGGGAAAGAAAAGGAAGAAGAAGAAGAAGAAGAAGAAGAGAATTGGGTTTGCGTGGAAGAAAAGAGGAGCGATACAAATAAAAAATTGATCTTTTGATGCTTGGAATTTGAGTAGTCCTAAGTTTTCAATTTTGGATTTGGGCTTTTCGTCTTCCTCTTCTTCTCTTCCTCTACACACAAAAATGTACTCTTTACCAAAGAAACGTGATAACGAGTATAGTTTTGCTTCGATCCTTTTGGTTATAAATGTAAATTTAACATTTCTTAGTCTTGAAGCCGAAAATTGCACTTTTTTTTAATGTCGTATATATATAACAGAAAAGGGAAAAATAAATTTAAGGAACTTATATAATGGACCAAATTGTTTCTGAGTGGGCTACCAAAATAGCCCCAAAAATATGATGGGCCAATTTAAAGAACTTATTCAATGGACCAATTTATATTGTATTAAGAGACCACATTGGTAATAGTGAGTCAATCACAATATTGTATCATAATTTCCAAAATTACCAGATTTGGTAATAGTGAGTCAATCACAGTACAAACTTCAAAACCAAATTTTGGAAATTATGATAGTGAGTCAATCACACATTGACAATGTAGTTTGTTTGATCTTAGATTAGATTCTGAAAATGAGGGTTTTGGTATCACGATCTATATTTAGAACATAATATAATACAAATTGATACATCTAACTCTTTTAAAATAATCTCAAGAAAGTTCTTTTAATTGAAAATATTTAACCAAATTAGATTCTGCAAATATAGTTTTGCTGTAAAAGCATCCTATTGAGATTTCTGAACATAATGTAATGAAAATGGTTATATAAGAGTTGGAATTAATATGGTTTTATTTCTTGATATTTTTCTAGATAAATTGTAAAACTCATGTAATTGTGAGATTTTTGTAATTTGGTGAATTTTTATGGAAGATTTTTATATACTATATGTTATCGGCTAACACCGTTTTATTTTAGGTCAATTTCTCGATAAACGGTTAGCACCGCTATTTTCGCTAAAATTAAAACTCATGTTTTTCCGTCAAGTACTTGTGAGAAATAAACGATAAATGAAAAAAATAAATTTGAGTTTATAATATATTGACATAAACAATGACTTTGTGTTTTTTACTAGTGTGATAATTAACTAGTGATAATAAATGTCATATTATGAAATTACCTAAATTTTCTCAAATAACTAAAAAAATGGAAACGACGAAACTGAATAAGGAAAAATTAAAATATATACAGAAGTAACAATAACGAAAAGATAACATCAAATTAAAGAAAAGTTAAAATATGTACAGAAATAACATTAACGGAAAGATAACATTAAATTAAAGAAAAGTTAAAGTTTTATTAGTAAGACAAGTGTACAAATGAGAACTGAAAGTAATCTAAAATCTATTTAAAAATTGTTTAATTGTAGGATTTAGGATAAAGATGTAGTAAATATTCAAAGTTTAGAAAGAAAAAAATAGAAAACATAGTGTGTATAGTAAACTAAACTATTGATTATATTTGATATCTGTTGAGGTAACTGTTTATCTTATAGATTATTGTTGATATGATTCCTTACTTTGATTATTATTTTATTTTTTCTTTCAAGATTGTTGATATTTTTTCTTTCTTTCAAGATTACCATTTATTGTTCAAAGAATTCATATATAAATACTGAAGTAGCATAAACATTACATCACCAGTTCACCATTCTCTTTAGTGTATAAAAAAAACATTGTTCTTTCTTTTTGAATATTCTAAAAATTTGTTCATATCGAATATTTTTTTCTTGGTCATAATCTCATCATATTGAAAGTTCAAGTAGCCAAAAAATAAAAAGTATAAAATCCTTCTAGTCGTACATGTATAAATCAGAGAGCATATTTCGAGATTCTCGCTAACATACGGGAATCTAGTCATCCAGTCAGATCCGAATAATGGGCCTTACTAATGGGCTTCATGGGCGACAGAATTTACCGCGGGAAGCAACGGGTGCATAGGCGCGGGAGGTATACGTGGCTTTGTTACACGTCGGATTGCGCGCCAAGACGACTAAATAAAATCTAAACCCTTGTTCATTTTCACCATCTTCGTCTTCCTCATCTTCCTCCAATCTCTTTCTGCATCTGACACTCTAATTATTTAGAAAAAAATGAGTTCACCAGGTGGTTCTTCTAGATCTATTCCATTCAAATCGAAGAAACGGTTGTTGATGGATTCGCCGATTTCAAAACCCCAGACCGAGAAACCTAATCCGTCTTCTGTAGCAATGCCTACACCGGAGAAGCCGCTTGAGAACATGCTTAGTAGATCTAGAAACCGATCTGTTGCTTTATCTGTGAAAGAGATTCGTCAAGCCGCTGGATCTCGTCGCAGATCTGAAGATCCGGTTGCTTCATCCGCCAAAAGCCAGCTCTTTTTTTCTCACAACGATTCATCATCGTCACCCTCTTCGGCTTCTAAACGAACTAGCTCTAATAAGAATGCAGAGAAAGAGAAGCTTCCGGAGAAGTAAGTTTTTGATTTCTAGGGTTTTTGATTTTCTTCTCAAAGTTTCAATTTTTCCTTTTTTTTTATTTTTTCCTGATTTGGGATTTGGAATTTGTGCAGGTACGAGATTCTGGGAAATTTCTTTGATGCATTGGATAGTTCGGTCTTGTTATCGAAACTAAGAGGTTCTAAGCCTACATTTTCCAACATTTCTGGGAAAGTCGAACATTTAACTGAGAGGTATTAATCTTTGTTTATGCCCACACTGATTGTTAGAGATTAGATCTGATCTGAATAAATAAGCCAAATTTGGTATTTGCTTTTTTGCTTTATAGACTTGATAAGACAAAAATGAATACTTTAGATCGTGTTTATGTTGTCACTGACGGGATCTGATCTGAATAATATAACCAATTTGATCTTTGCCTTTTCTACTTTATAAGTTCGATAAGACAAAATCATGATTTAGATCTGGGTTTTTTTAATAGATTTCACTAATAACTTTAGCTTTTAGACATTCAAAGTCGACTAATTTTGATGAGTCTGTTTCTGATGTATGAATCTAATTCTGGAGTGGAATTTTTGCAGGAGGTTTTGTTATAGTCACTTGGCTCAACTTAAGCATATATTACCAGAAGCGATCGAGATCAAGAGAGTGTTGATACATGACGAAACAACTTGCTGTATGAAACCAGATCTTCATGTTACACTCAATGCCGATGCAGTTGAGTACAATGACAAGTCGAAATCAGAAAGCAAGAGAGTCAATCTCAGGAAAGTGTTCAGGGAAAGACTTGCGGAGTTTGTCAAAGCTCACCCGAAGGTAATGTTGTTCACTATGATGAACAATGCATTCTTGTAGTGATTTTGGAAGTTACATTGTATGGTTTCTATTCAGGTACTAATTGTTTTTTAATCTGTTTTAGGGTGATGAAGTTCCTGAAGAGCCACTTCCTGAGCTATTCAATAGAAGGAAGTCAAATGAAAACTCAATTGTTGAGGTTAAAAGTGTTGGTCCTGTCATGGAAGAGAAGGCTTCGATTCCAGCAGCTAAATGGTTCTCATCTCCCTTTAAAGTTACATCAACTCCAGTCAAAGCAGCTTCAACTCCTTCTAAACCAACCTCGTCTCAGATTAACATTACCCCAACTCCAAGCAAAACAAATTCAAGTCCTGCTAAACTGGCTATGTCTGTGATTAACATTGTGCCAACTCCAGTCAAATCAGTGTCAACCCTGGCTAGCACACCTTTGACACCTGCTACGATTGACTCAACACCAGTTATTGCTGCTTCGACTCCACCTGAATTTGCTTCAACTCCTGCACGGCTGATGAGTACGTCATTGGCAGCTCGTTCGCAGAAAAGAAGCAGCGGTGATACAAATCCAGATGATGTTTCTACTGACCCACCGGCTAAGCTTGTGAGGCGTTCCTTGTCTCTGAACTTTGATTCTTATACTGAGGATGAGAAAGCTACAGATTTCACTGATGATGAAGATGAACCTATTGATCAAGTACCAGACGAAGATGTATCCAGCGATGATGAAATCCTCAGCATACTTCCTGTTAAACTTCGACAAACGGTAAGACATCTCTATTACTGATTCCTTTTCTTCTCGTAATTGAGATTAACAAGTAGAAACTGAGATTGGCTTTGCTTAATGAGATAGTTGATATATCTATCTGCACATTTCAGATAAAAGAACAAGAGAGGAAAGCGATTGAGGATCAAAATCCAGCAATATCTCTGGCAAAAAGAAGGCGGAAGATGATTGCTTGTCTACCAAAACTTTTCAATGTCATCCATTACTTAATTCAATCGATAAGGCGTTGGGTTATCACAAAAGAAGAGCTTCTGCACAAGATTATCGCCGGTCATTCTGATATTACTGACAGAAGTAAGCCTCTCTAACCGCCACTAAGCATCTCAATATAACTTTTCTTTACACTGTATGAAGACCATCCTAACTGTTATCTGCTCACTTACGTTTTGCAGAAGAAGTTGAGGAACAACTTGTATTACTGCAAGAGCTTGTCCCTGAATGGATGTCTGAGAAAAAATCATCAAGTGGAGACGTATTAGTATGGTGAGTCTGATATCACACGCATACATACTTTATTCACCTTTTCTTGGTTTTTCAATTTCTCATGTAAGCATCTTTACTGTGCAGCATAAACAAATTGGCGTCTCCCCTAACAATTCGAGCACGTCTTGAAGAAGTAAACAAGCAAGAGATTGCTCCACTGCTTTCTTGAGATCGTGCCATGGGCTGTGGGTTACTTTGGGTAGTTGGGTTGCTAACTTTTTTTTGTGGTCTGCCAAATATATTCTATTCATGAGGCATGTGTAGAGACTATAGGTTATAAAGTACTGAAGTGTCAAAGGGGTGAAAAGATGTTAATGACAAACTATTTATAAAGTTCTAATCTATTTTCGAATTTCGACCTTGAATTTATTTCTCTATCAAATAAATAGTCATTGTATCAGAATTCTTAATATAACAAGGCTGACATACCTAAATCCTTGGTGGCAATTCTCATTCTGATTTTGTTCTATATTCGAGTCGGTTGGTTCTATTTCTGAGACTGAGAGATAAGAAAATTGCGGGAAGTTAACGGACGGGAGTCCACGTGGCAGACTCGCGCCAAATACCCTAAAATAAATACTAACTAAACCCTTCTTCTTCTCTTCTTCATCTTCATCATCTTCACATCGTGGCCGATCTTTCTCCCTCTCTCTCTGCATCTGAGTCGAAAACCCTAATCTGAATTCTGTATCTTTGCTCACGCCGGAGAAGCCGCCGGAGAATCCTATCAACGCGTTGGATAGTTCGATCCTATTATCAAAATTGAGAGGTTCGAAGCCGACATTTTCCAATATCTCGAAGATCATCGATCATTTAACCGAAAGGTACACTAGATCCTGAAAGTTTCTATTTTTGAATCTGGAATCTGATCATAAATACCCAATTTTTGATACTTTATAGGGTCGATTAGAATAGTGTAGATCTGGGTTCTTGGTGGACAATTTCACAAAAACTAATTCTAGTTTGAATATATTTATTGTATTCAGGAGTTTTAGCTACAGTCTCTTGGCTCAACTTAAGCATATATTGCCAGAAGCTATTGAGATTAAGAGAGTGTTGATTCATGTTGAAACTACTTGCTGTATGAAACCAGACCTTCATGTTAGACTCAATGCTGATGCTGTTGAATACAATGACAAGTCGAGTTCTGAAAGTAAGAGAATCAGTCTCCGGAAAGTATTCAGGGCAAGACTTGCGGAATTTGTTAAAGCTCACCCTCAGGTATAATGACCATTCCCTATGATGCAAACGAAAAAATGGATTCTTTCAATGATTGTGGTAGTGACATTGTGTGGTTTGTAAGTCTAGTTAAGTTATTAATGGAGTTTTAATCTGTTTTAGGGTGATGAGGTTTCAGAGGAACCACTCCCTGAGCTATTTAATAGATGGAAGCCAATGAAAGCTCAAAGCAGTTGTTGTTGCTTCAACTCCACCTGAGTATGCCTCAACTCCTGCCGGGCTGTTCTGTACATCACTGGCTTATTTTCCGCAAAAAAGAAGCAGTGATTCTACAAATCCGGATGGTGTTTCGATTGATCAACCGGTTAAGCTTGTGAGGCGTTTGCTGAACTTTGAATCTTATTCTGAGGACAAGAAAACTACGGATGTGACAGATGATGAGCACATTGATCCGGTACCAGAGGAGGATGTATCCAGTGATAATGGAATCCTCCAGCATGTGTTCTGATAAAATTCGACAATCGGTAATACATCTTTGATAATGATTCATCTCTTGTGATTACTTACTACTTTTCAGTTTGAGATTAATAAGTACAAACTGAGATTGGCGTTGGTAATTGAGATGGTTAATCTTCTTTCTGAACATTTCAGATAAAAGAACAAGAGAGGAAAGCGATATAGGACCAGTATCCAGCAATATCTCTGGCAAAAAGAAGGCAGAAGATGATCGCTTGTCTACCTAAACTTTTCAGTGTCATCCAATCGATAAGGCGTTGGGTTATTACAAAAGAAGAGCTTGTGCACAAGATTATCGCTGGTCATTCAGATATTACCAACAGAAGTAAGCCCCTCTAATCGCCAAGTATCTCACTATAACTTCTCTTTATATTGTTTGAAAACCATCCTAACTGTTTTCTTCTCACTTACGTTCTGCAGAAGAAGTTGAAGTACAACTTTTACTACTGCAAGAGCTTGTCCCGGAATGGATGTCTGAGAAACAATCAGCAAGTGGAGATGTACTAGTATGGTGAGTAGCTCATACACAGTAACTTTACACACTTTTCTCAAGGATTTTCTGATTGCTCATGTAAGTAAACATCTGTAATGTGCAGCATAAACAAAATGGCATCTCCGCAAACAATCCAATTGCCTCTAGAAGAAGAAAACAAGCAAGAGATAGCTCCACCACTTTCTTTACATTGCGGTTTAATTGGCTTCGGTTACCACGTTTTATAACAGCTTAGGTAGGATGACAAACTATTTAGGAATTAATCTATTTTCGGCTTCTGTATTAAGTTATTTCTCTATCAGTGAGTCATTTGATCATATGTTAGTAGATACGTTTTGTATCAGAAAGCTTAATAGAAGTGCTAACATACTTAAAATCCTAGGAAGACAATTCTTTTTCCAAATTATTTTACATAGTCGAAGAAACCTTAAGCATGTCAAGTATGACCAAAACTCGATTCCGACTAATCTAAAAAGGCAGGAATAAGACCATTCCGTTGCAAGTAATCGATGTTAGCTCTAAAAGTTTCGTACTTTTCATCAATTTTTTGGTTCAATTTCTATATATTTACGACTAATGATTTTTGAGAGTTCTAGATTAGCAATTAAGACAAGCTATTGTCACACTATTAAACAAGTATAGGCCGGTCATCTTTATTGACTATAGCCATCTTATTTCTTACACAACTTATAAAGCTTCATGTTTACTTTGTCCATGTCCATCATGATCATTAACATAAAACTATAACTACCAAACCTATGATATATGAAATAAGTGAAGTGCAAACAAAAACAAGAAATGAAAAAAGGATCCCCATATGACTTATTAGTGAGGTAGGTTTTGAAGTTTCAATGGCCAATGAGCTAAAAAGAGAATAATACCAGAAGGAGAAGTAGAAATGGAATTGTGTGTATAAGGGAGAGAGAGATTGAGTGAGATTTCTTTATAAGGACAATAATAATTAGATTCCTTATAGATCTTGTATATGGACCACAACTAGTCCCCATCATACATTCCCAAGTCTCATTGTTTTCTCCTTTGAGAAAAAAAGAAAAAAAAAGAAAAGAAAAAAAAAAGTATTTTCCCAAACAAAAGAAAAAATAGAGAGACCTTTGCCACTCTTTTAAGCAATTTCTCTGACTCAATAATTCCCTTTTTAGATAAAACATTCAAAACCCGTAAGTTTGGAATATATTTTTAAGATTCGTTTGTTTTTAGTTTTGGTGTTACACAAAAAAAATATGGATATATCCCACCTTCATGTTATTTTCTCTTTGCTATTTGTGAATATTGCAGAAGTTTAAGTTTGTTTCAAACTATGTGAAATAATTCTAAAATATATGCATTGACATTTATATTAAAAAATTTACAATACCAATTGGTTTACTATAAAATATTGAGCAATTAGTATAGATAACAACTTGTTTAGGATCAGCCGTTAGTAAACATCACGTTAAAACGAAAATCACCCCATAGGATTTTTAAACCAGCTAGTGAGTGATTTGTGTTGTCACTCTCAAAGTCACTAGCTGGATGACCACCATTCACTACTTGGTGAGTAGAAGTTTTTTTTACTATATACTTTTATATATGAAAGATAACTCCTCTAGAATATATACTTTTTTTTTTTCAAAATATCATAGCTATTAATCTATTCAAAAACATATTTTAGAAATGGTTCCTGAACGATGCATGTCCATGTCGGCGTGGTAAAATATAAAATCATGCACAAAATTAAGAAGCACTTAGAAAAATTGCGAAGCCTTTTGAGACATGTTTTGTTATAAAAATGTATATATTGAACAGAATAACAAAGCACTAACTTAAAACCATATACTAATACAATCACCTAAAGGAGAGATTGATTATTACATGCATGGCTTATCGGTTACTACGGACCAAGTAATCAAATGATCAAACGATGCCCCTTCAAAAAACACTATTATCAAAACCTTTTTCAATTTTAAAAGTCATTTGAAACAATTTGGATACAGGCATGCTTTGATCTAATTAATGCCAACTTTCGGAAAACAACTAATATAATTTTCGGTGGAATAGATAACTACTTTTATATATATACAACAAAAGTGCATAGCCTTCATTTATTTATATATACAAGCATTATATAAAAAATTCTGTTGTTGTAGAAAAATTAACAGCAATCTACTAAAGTCACAATATGTATATGGTATTGAACTATCAATCTATATATTAAATACATAAAGGTGAACTTTCTACCAACAATCTTTAGCAATCTCAAATTTCAAAGGCGACCTAAGGAATTAATTATAGGTTATTTAGTTTTCTCATTCGTATGAATCTTAACACTCTCTTTGGAATAATTTTGCTATATTATGAAAATAATTGACCATAGTAATCAAGTAGTAAAAGAAAATAATAATGATTAAAAAAGAGGGATAATATATTTATATGGTTTTATTAATTGATATTATTTTTTCAGTTAAAGAAGTAAAAGATAAAAATGATGAAAAGGGGAAGGAAATGAAAAGAGATGTTGAGTTGGTGCGTTGCATTAGAACACATTGATGGAAACAAGTCATGAGAGCATATTATAAGAGACCTCCCAGATAGATTATTATGAGCAATCAATTTTTAAAACACCATCATCATTTTGATTTCCAAGTGGGAACTCAAAAATCAGATCATACACATTTCAAATTAGAATACCCTCTACCCTTGGGTTCTTATAATGAGCTTACCAATATGGTCGACACAAAGGACTTGTGAATGACCCGTGAAATTTTACAAATATTATGACTTGTGAATGACCTATATTGGGGGAGTCACAACATCTAAAACATATCTTTGGACTAACATATTAGATAATTTTAAGTTTACATTCTAGGTGATCAATTCAAGATGTGTGTGAAAAATTCAAGAAAATGAAGTATAGGAGTATATTTCTTTGTCTAAAATGTAACATAGGCCAGCAAATAAATGGTTCGATGGGTATATATTTCTTTATCCAAGGATGATTATGGTAAACAAGACAAAATGAGTGAGTATGAAAAAGACATTGGATTTTTGTTGACAATACTAAAAGGGAAATTAAAAAGAGCCATATATTTTTAATCATAATGTGAGATTATATATGGACAAGCTATAAAGTCCAATATGTTTCAACTTTATATTGGCATATGAAATCATTTTTTATTATTTTATTATTTAAAGCTGAAAATTCTCAAATTCATTTTTTTTAAAGAAGAAAGTTCACAAATTTTTGAAATTAGAAGCTACATTAATATGAATTATTTACCACATAAATTATAAAATTTAAAACATACAACATTATAGAAATCGATAAAAAAATACAGTCGGAAAAAACTCTTAACGTTTATATTTTGATTAATTGATAAAAAAAAATTTTATATTTGGACCACCGACTAATATAATTTTAGGTAAAGAGTGATTTTGAATTTACTATATGATGAATTTATATATAAACACAAAAGAAATTAGTGCAATGTGTAATATTTTTGGTAATTTGTTTTTAGTGAGAAAGAAAAGTGAAAAAGGATGAAGGAAGCAAAAATTCAGTTGGTGAATCATTTTGCTGGCCATTACACAACTAAATAGAAAGAGGGAGAGAGATGAGAAGATCCTATCTTCTTCCATAAAATCCCATACACTTCAACACACTCACCTTCCCACTACCTCCAATAGCTAACATGCGCACACCTATCGTTCCTCTTCCGTTGCTAAAATGAGCATGGTGCGTGATTCGCCCGCTTCCTTTGCTCGATTTCTTCTCCACCCTTTAAAAAAAAGGAACGTCTTTTAGCTTACCTCTGCCTCCGACCTTTTACTCTCTCTCTTTCTCTCTCTCTCTCTCTGTTCTGTCCTTTTTTTCCCTGCAAATTTCTCGATTGTAAGTTTTTTTTTTTTTTTTCTGAGTGATGCAGAGTATGCTGAAATCAACACTTGAAGTCAATCAATGTCTTCTGACATAAGCTAAACTCTCTCCTCTTGTCTCTCTCTCTCTCTGCTTCCTTTTGTCACTGTCTTTCTCCTTCTTCAGCTTTGAATTTTCAATCTTGATTTGTCTTATGGCGAGTAGTAGTAGTTGCAGCAGATCTATCTCCGTTTCCAACTGTTTGAAATTGTGATTCTTTGGTGTGTTGTTTTGAGCTAGGGTTTAAATTAGTTTCCTTTTGGTAATCCGATTCAAAGTTTTAATCTTGGGGTAAGGGATGGGTAAGAGGCAAATCTCACAAGATGAAGTAGGTCCGCCGATAAGCCCAAGAGCTGGTTTGCGAAGGGAACAAGCTGGAAGAGGTTCATACAGAGGTAGTTAGTAACTTTGTATGTGATCGAAAGGGGAATAAAAAGGTTCATTTGGGGAGGAGGGATAGTGTAAAAAAACTGATTTTTTGTTTTCTTCATTCGGACACAAATTTTTTTGAACTTACAAAGAATCAAAAGGACTCTCTGTCTCTGTCTTGATTTGTCGTTTTTTGAGTCGGGGGTTGTTTTTGGGAACTTGCCCTTTAGAATGGGTTCTACTTCTCAAGAGATACTGAGGAGCTTTTGCTCTAACACGGACTGGAACTATGCTGTGTTCTGGAAGCTTAATCATCGATCTCGAATGTGAGTCACTTGAACAATCTCTTTGCTTGTTGGACCATTAACATTGTCTACGGGTTGAAACTGTGGTAATTGATTTATCTGTTTAGGAGATGTATTTCGCTAACTTGTTAGTGTGGAAGAACATAGGGAACCTTATACTGAAATGTAGGCAGCCTTAACTTAGCTTTAGACTGTTCTGTATTTTTGAGTTTCGTGTAACTAAGCGCTCTATTTCTTTATAAGTTTAGAGTTTAGTTGACTAGATAGTTTCCTCATTTCCTGAATATTTAACGCTTGTAGGGTACTCACCTTGGAGGACGCTTACTACGACAATAATACAATACCAAAAAACATGCATGGAGCACATGACCTTCTTGGGTTAGCTGTGGCAAAGATGTCGTATCATGTCTATTCTCTTGGGGAAGGGTAAGAATAAATTGCTTGCCTGATCCACTCTTCCTTGACTTCCATCTTTTAAACTAGACTTTCATGGTTATCTAAATTTTTTAAAAAAAGAGTATGACGCAGTTTGGCATTTGACTCTTATACTTTGTTTCTTTGACATTAGCTACATAATGCAAAGCTTTTTTCTTGGGGCTTGATGTCAGCAGGAGCTTTTACTATTAGTTACAAATCTTAGAGTAGGACAAATTGAATATTTTACTGAATGATGCAAAGAATGATCTTCGTATTTTATCATGTCTATATTAATAGGATTGTAGGACAAGTTGCAGTTTCTGGAGAACATCAATGGGTATTCCCCGAATATTATGATAACTGTCACGCAGAATTTGAGGTTAGAAACTTCTTATCTTGAGTTGGATTTTTTTCTTTATCCATGTTCTCAAAACCACATATCTTTTCTCGAATTACAGTTTCATAACGTTTGGGAGAGTCAGATGTCTGCTGGGATTAAGGTAATTTGAAATTTTCTTAGTGTTCTTGTTGTCTGCTCTCTTACATGAATCTCAATATCTTCCTCAAAGTTTGCCTCTGAGAACTTTCTTTGTTTTCTTCCTTCTCCGCAGACCATTCTTGTAGTAGCTGTTGGTCACTGTGGAGTTGTGCAGCTAGGTTCTTTGCGTAAAGTAAGTAAGATCTTTAATTGCATGCAGTGTTCATAATGCATGGTACATATGAACGTATCTGGTCTTATTGTGTGCTTGTTTGGAGCAGGTTAATGAAGATGTGAATTTGGTGAATCATATCCGACATTTATTTCTGGCACTTAGGGATCCACTGGCAGATCATGCAGCAAATTTAATGCAATGTAATATGAACAATTCGTTATGTCTGGTAAAGATCTTCTTCATTCAAATATGGGTTCATGTTTGCCCAGATTTCTCGTTATTTGCAAAATGGGGAGAGTAGAGTGCTTAGGGTTGTTCGAACAATTCCTCAAACCTCCACCGACTTCCTGAGTGGAGCATGATGTGTTGTATAATTTTGTTGCAGCCAAACATACCTTCTGAAGGTTTACATGCCAAGGCTTTCCCTGATTGCTCTGGAGAAGTTGCCAAAGCTATGGATGTGGATGAGTCAAATATTCTAACTCAGTACAAAACTAGTAATAGCTTGCCTTACAATACTCCTTCGTCATCTCTTCTCATGGAAAATGCAGCTCAAGTTGTAGGCGATCGTGATGTTGTGCAAGGATCTACTTGTGGGAGCTATAGCGGTGTTACGTTTGGCTTTCCAGTTGACGTGGTTGATGCCAAATATGCGAGTCATCTAGGTACAAATATAATCAGTGATGCATCTCATGTGGGAATGACTAGTGGCTGCAAAGATCCAAGAGGATTAGATCCTAATTTACAACAGTATATGAAGAATCATGTGCTCAGTAATACAAGCTCATCTGCTTTAGCAATTGAGGCTGAAAGGATGATTACAGCCCACTCATATCCAGGCCTGGACTCAACTTTTCATGCTTCGCCTGGAACAGAGAAAGAAAGTTCTTACCAGAATGAAGTGTTGCAACTATCTGAGAACCACGGAAATAAACACCTAAAAGAGAGTGAGCGTATGCTGGAGAGGAAATGCGAGTCTAGTCGATCTGACGCTTTGATCTCACCTGGGTATACCTTTGCTGGCAGCGAGCTGCTCGAGGCGTTAGGCTCTGCTTTCAAGAAAACAAGCACTGGTCAGGAGGATCTACTGAAGTCTGAAAATCGTTCAACAATAAGACCAACAGATGATATGAGTCATAGCCAGCTCACATTTGACTCTGGCCCTGAGAATCTTCTAGATGCTGTAGTTGCTAATGTGTGTCAAAGCGATGGCAATGCCAGGGATGATATGTTGTCGAGCAGATCTGTACAATCATTGCTTACCACCATGGAAGTGGCAGAACCCTCAGGTCAAAAGAAGCATAATAATGTTATCTCAGTTGATAGTGCTATGAAGCAGCTGCCATTAGTAGAGGTGGATACCCAACAAAATTCATCAGATATCTGTGGAGCATTCTCTTCGATTGGATTCTCATCTACGTATCCCAGCTCCTCTAGTGACCAGTTTCAGACATCCCTGGACATGCCCAAGAAGAACAAAAAGAGGGCTAAACCTGGTGAAAGTTCTCGACCTCGTCCAAGAGACAGACAACTCATCCAGGATCGAATAAAGGAACTTAGAGAACTTGTACCTAATGGATCTAAGGTGACTTTTCTCTTCCTAGCTACAAGGTTACTTGCATTATTGTATTGACTATAAGTTGTAATATATTTTTCTGTTTGCTAATATTTTTGTCATATTTACAGTGCAGTATTGATTCTTTGCTAGAACGCACGATCAGGCATATGCTCTTTTTGCAGAATGTTACTAAGCATGCTGACAAGCTCAGTAAAAGTGCTAAGACAAAGGTAAAAGATCAGCTTTCTAGATCCTATTAATCCCTGTTCTGTTTGTTTCCAGCCTCTATAGTTTGTAAGTTTAGCAAATGTTGTCAGATTTCTGAATTTTTTATTGAGAAGATAGGATGGGGACATGGAGGTATAGAAACTCAACTGCAAAATAGAAGTATATATTAAAATTATACAGTGCCTCTGTAATCTCAGATGCAACAGAAGGAAACTGGTATGCAAGGTTCAAGCTGCGCAGTGGAGGTTGGAGGCCATCTTCAAGTATGCTCAATTATCGTGGAGAATCTGAACAAGCAGGGAATGGTGCTTATCGAGGTATGTAATGTTACTCTTTAGTGTTTCTTTCGTTGAGTCCCAAGTTCTGTTGGTGCGTTTCTAAATCTTACTTTTAAAGTATTTTTGGGTTTGGACAGATGTTATGTGAAGAATGTAGCCATTTTCTTGAGATAGCAAATGTCATTAGGAGCTTAGACCTCGTCATCTTAAGAGGCATCACTGAGACTCAGGGCGAGAAAACATGGATATGCTTTGTAACAGAGGTAGGAAATCGAATTCACTCAATTCACAAAGGAGATTCGAAAGAAATTCACAGTTTTTCTCTTGGTTTTGGTTTAACATTGGATTAGTGTAATGATAATATATAAGACTGACTAACATCGAGATGATGATATGAATGGCAGAGCCAGAACAGCAAAGTAATGCAGAGGATGGACATTTTGTGGTCGCTTGTGCAAATATTTCAACCAAAGGCCAATGTGAAGATGTAGCAGGCGTGATTGCAGAGTTTGCCTTTAGAGGAGATAAATAATAGGCTTGTACAGTGTTGCTGTGACACTCACTTCAACACTTCATTTGTTTGTTTTGGTTTTATGTATAAAATATATATCTTAAAAGTTGAGTGTGTTTATGATTTGCATTTTGTTTGCTTTGCTTTCCTAAGTGTATGGACCCGAATATAACATTACTTGAAAGTTGATTCTCTTCAAACGTTTTGAGGTGTTCAGCTATTCGATTTGTAAGCTGAATCGGGTTATAAATTTGGAAGCCTGAATGATTAAAGATGGTACACAAGTGCAAAAAATGTAAATATTCCAACTGAGTACACACAGCACCAAACTCCAAAGCCATAAAAAAAAAAAACAAGTCCTAGAAAGAAGAAGCTTTTACAATAGGGACTGTTCTGTTCTGCCTCATTTGCTGCAGAGCTAACCTCGAGTGAAGCTGTAGAAGTAGGGGAGAAATTTTCTTCCTTTGAATATCTTATTTATAACCCAACTGGTCGTTTCAGAAGCCAAATCTCTTCCTTTGAATCTTCTGGAAACTGGGGCGTTGTTGAGTCTGATGAATCGACTTCAAAGGCTTCTCCTTTCTGCTCCTAGCTTATCTTCACCAATCACACCTCCTTTGTGCCGGTTTCAGGGTTTCTATTGTGATCCTCTGATGCTCTAAAGGTGGGGCTTTTCTATTTGCTTCTGCCTCTTAACCTATCGCATTCGTCAAAATTTGGATTTTGAGTTTGGGTAATAGATGCCAATATTTAAGAGCGAAGCTTGCGGTGTTCACTTTGATTAGGTTTGGTTAGTAGACACTGATATGGCTATGATACGGGATTTATTTGGAATTCTGGGTACTAAGTATGCTCCATTGTTAATCAGAAGATTCTCACTTTGGTCTACGAAGAAAGACCCTGATCTCGAATCTGCTCTCTCGCGTAACAAGAGATGGGTAGTTAACAGTAGGCTCAAGAACATTATCTTAAGGTGCCCCAACCAGGTTGCATCGGTTAAGTTTCTACAGAAGAAGTTTAAGACTCTTGATCTGCAGGGGAAAGCCTTGAATTGGCTTAAGAAGTACCCTTGTTGTTTCCACGTTTATCTCGAGAACGATGAGTATTACTGTCGTTTAACGAAACCCATGATGACGCTTGTGGAAGAAGAAGAGTTGGTCAAAGATGCCCAAGAGCCTGTGCTCGCTGATAGGCTTGCAAAGCTGCTTATGATGAGTGTTAATCAGCGCCTCAATGTGGTGAAGCTTAACGAGTTTAAGCGGAGCTTTGGATTCCCTGATGATTATGTTATCAGGATACTACCAAAGTACTCAGATGTTTTCCGATTAGTGAACTATAGTGGCAGGAAGAGTTCAATGGAGATCGAGCTTGTGTTGTGGAAACCTGAGTTGGCTGTTTCTGCAGTGGAGGCAGCAGCAAAAGACTGTGGCTCTGAGCCTAGTTTTTCATGCTTTTTACCTTCCACATGGACCAAACCATGGGAGAGGTTCATGGAGTTTAATACCTCTCCTTACATATCTCCGTATGAGGATCATGGGGATCTTGTCGAGGGTTCAAAGGAGAGTGAGAAGAGAAGTGTCGGTTTGGTGCACGAGATACTCTCGTTGACGCTGTGGAAGAAGCTGTCAATCGTAAAGCTGAGTCATTTCAAGAGGGAATTTGGGTTGCCAGAGAAGCTAAATTCTATGCTTCTGAAACATCCAGGCATATTCTACGTCGCTAACAAGTATCAGGTTCACACTGTGCTTCTTAGAGAAGGATACAATGGCGCGGAATTGATTCACAAGGACCCGCTCGTTGTTGTAAAGGATAAATTTGGGGAACTGATGCAGCAGGGCTTGTATGAGTATAATCACAGGCGATATTTGGCTAATCTAGAGAAGAAGAGAGAGAAAGGTATTGAATCTTTGAAGCCTGTGGTGCGAAAGAAAGACAGGATTGATGATGGCGATGATGTAAATGAACAAGAAAACCATGGCGATCGACCAGGAGGTCTGTTTGATACAGAAGAGAGAAAAAGGTTCTATCAGATTCTCTTCAGTGACACCCGATAAGAGCATTCTGGTATAGCTGAAACATTATTTGCTGAGAATTGCTGCATCTCAATAACTCTTGGGACGGACAGCTTGGTTTTGGATATGATTTAAGAGCATATTGTGATTTCTGTAAAGTTAAAGACTTTATAGAGTATATTGGGATCTCTGTAAACGTCAAAGTCACAAACCTCTTGACAGTGATATTTTTTTTGGTTCGTATCACAAACCTCTACCATACAAGATAAAAGATTATGTAAGAGTCATTAAATATCTATTGGATGAACAATACCCACTAACAAGATTAATGACATATATTCACTAATTCATAGCAAAAGAAAAGCAATGAAAATGATATTTCTGCCCTAGTTCTTCAAAGCGGTGATGATTGCATTGAGGTACAGGTGCAGATCCAATGAGTCCACCAGGTTGGAAGATAATACATTCCAGCAGCTAGAACCACAGCAGTAATGGCTGTAACTTTGAGGCAGGCACTTCCACGAAGGAGTTTCCCTGAGATCACTTTGCAGGACTTGTCACAGGAAGCATCGCAGGTTAGGTCACTCCCCAAGATTACTGAAGGAGTGATGGCTTTTTCGTTCTATAAGCATCACAGGTTAGGTCAGAGATGAAATTACAACCGCTTGGAGGGTGAAATAAGTTTATCTTAGAAGAGTAAGAAGCAGTACCTTAAGTATGAAGCTCTCCATAGTTCGAGTGAGAGTGAGAGTATCACTGGGTGATGATGATAGTTTGAGGGAATGATCCTTCCATTCGTCTCCAAGCTTTTTAAGAAGAGCAACACTAGCTTCTTCATTCTCCGTGTAGAGCTTTTCCCAGATCTTGCAGCAATATACATTTTCTGTCACAGACCAGAAAGCGATATCTGTAGCTTCCTTGGCTAAAACAGGGTTTCCTGTAACAACGGTAACACATGAAGACATGGGAACTTGGAGAAGAAGAGAGAGGGAACCAGAAAACTTAAGGATTCAAGGTTCCATTTGTTACTAATACCTTCTCCAGCTAGTTTCAAAGAAAAGGTGAATATTTGTTCAGTGGCTTGTTTCATTAATTTGCTTCCTGGTTCACCGGCAAGAGCCACTTCCTTCAACAAGGGATAAATTGCCTCAAACCTCTCTGTATCCTGTGAATATATAGATCCCATGCTTGTGATCAGAATCGACAAAGGCATCAAGATTTTGTTTGATAAAAATGCAATGAGACTGCTTACCTTTACTCTTGCGGATGAAGCAGGGAAAGCAAGCCGCAGCAAGATCTCAAATGAGAAAGGTGGAATCAGTTGTGATTCATCTTCAGAAGCTTCATTTACAAGTAAAGTCCGAGCATTTGGATACGACAGAATTCTGACAAGAAAATTGCATAAACAAGATGAGATATTTGTATATATAGCAAAGGAGATGAAAAGAAAACTTTGGACTCACTTCTCAACGAACTGCAGGATGAGATCCCTAGACTGAGGGTTGCTACCGACTAGAGGTAACAAGTTACGTGCCCATGAATACAAGCCTACAGATAAATCACCGTGGGAGGCCTGTTCACATTTTACAGTTGAATAACTATCAGAACAAAAGATGGCAGAAAACAGACTCTTGGTCCTAGTTTGACATAAGCGGAATTAAATAGGACACGAACCTGAGCCATCATCCAAACAGTAATGGGAAGCTTGTCCTCTCCTTGATACTTACGCCTATTGCTCAGAGTGGGCAAAACAGTAGCCAAAGCATGGGGTCTCTTACGCAAAACCATTGCTAATGCAACAAAGGTTGCTACCTAATTGTAAAACAACAAATAGAAGAGAAGCAAAACAATGGTACAAGATTCAATGACACACAGACATAAGTGAAAGAAAGCGATTACAAAAAAATTGACAAAAATTTACCGGAGATTTGGACTTAGGATGTTGCGCCTCCTTGTCCCCACTGATGGTATCTGCCAAATAAGTGAGAATATAACCAAATGCCCACAATACAAAGCCACAGAGTGTCGTAATAGAACTTCGGGAGATCCAATCGACTGATGTTTTGTAGACAGGATCAGGAATTTGAGATAATGGAACCTGTTTACCACAAACAAAAAAAAAACACAGAACCAAAAGTTTTTGATTTGATTTGATTTTATATAAAAAAAAAAAGATTAAAAGAAAAAAAGCGAGGCTCTCACATCGATCACATGAATCAACGTGGGGAAAGGAGACTCCGTGAACATCTTGACCCATGGAAATTGCACAGCGGAAAGTGTTCTCCCAAGGTAATCGATAAATCTCAATAGCTGAACCTCCGGCTCGAACCAATACGATTTCTGCGACACCACATCAAATATTTCACATCTGTGAGCAATCAAGTGACGAATAAATTTCACATGTCATGCGCTTACCGATATTTCGGCGAGGTAAGCCGCAAGATCAGAAGGATCGATCATTGCGGCAGCTTCGGGAAAAGACACTGTCGGCTTTTTATTTTCATCATTTGTCTTGAGATTCTCATCCCTTGTCGCTATCTGGGCGTCGCCACTGTAACGATCAGATGGGTGTTTAGCAGAAGCAGCGACCTTCTTCTCCGCCCGTTTTTTCTTCCGAGACACGACGGTGGTCCATCCATGGTTGACGTGTAGGTTACGTTTAGAGGTCTCCAAGTCATTGTAATCCACAGATGATTCGATCGGCTCCATAAGCTTTTCTAAAGTTTTGTCCTTTTTCCTTTAATTGCAAAGAAGAAGAAAACAGAAACCAATGTATATGATTTTAGTGTTCATGTAGTAGATTTCTAAAACCCGCATGATATATATATATATATATATATACGCAATTCCCCCTTTGACTTTGAATTTGATAAAACACGGGTTTATTTTTATTTATACTAGGGCTGTCTGCCCGTGCGTTGCCGCACGGGGAAATGAAAACTTAAAATAATTAACATTGTTAAATAATTTTTTCGAGTGGAAAATTGATTATAATTTTCTAATTGTATATTTTTTTATTTAATTTACAAATTTATTTTCTTTACCTTTTCTATATTATGATATATTAGATTTGTGAGACTGAGAAAACTTTCTTACAATTTTATCTTTATCCTTCAAATGATATTTTTCTAATAGTATCGCTGCATTTTAATACTGATGATCCTAGAAAGTCAAAAGAATTCAATATTTATGAATGACCATTTTTTACTGTTAACGTGCCCCTTCTTTTTCTTTATTTAAAAAACAAAGCTGTCAACGCAATTATGAAATGAACTTCTAGCTAATGCTCTTAAAATCATATCAAAGATTCATGCCTTTTCTTTTTACAAAATCTAAGAATTTTTTTGGATACAAAGCTCAACTATTTCTAGCATAATATATGTTTCAATCACCAACGAAACATTAGTCCCATTAAACTAATGAGACAACTCTACAGATTCAACCAAATTCAACATAACATTATAGGAACATAAGCAATACCTAAAGAAACATCAATGAGAAAGAATATGCTTCAATTTAAGAAAAAAAAGTTTTACAATGACAAATTATTGTCAATTAGATTTAAAAGAAAATATATTTGGTGTTTTGGTGAGGCATCTACATATGGCACGACTTTTCATTGGACAAAGATCAACATGAAGCAACTTCTTCTTCTTGTATGCTTCTGTTATATCAATCTTATGCTTTTATCAAAATATGAGCTATAAATTTAAGGGCGATCTTGCTTCAAATTACATTTCACAAATCACAGTATATATTAGAATCATATCCAATTGTATCTACAGATAGAATTCAACTATAAATACCAACGAATATTGTTGTATCAAAACACCAACCTATGATTAATAATAATAATAAATAAATAAAACACAACAATTTGAAACAATGATTTGTAACTGATTCTTGTAGAAATTTAGAAGTATAATTAAACAATAAAAATTTAGTGAAGTCACTAATCAAACAATAAAAAAGGGAGTAGAAATTATAAGTTTAAAGGCTTATCAAAATATAAAATAAAATGAGGAAGATGAAACAAAACAAACCAGATGATGTTTGAGTGTAAATCTATGGCCATGTTACTACATTTTATATGAGTTTTATACTTTTTTTGAAGTTAAATTGATCAATTAATAATTTTGTTGCAAATACATAAATCGATTCAGTGACAAGAAGAGAACAATG